TTCTTCTACCCCATATGGTCTCTCGTCTCTTCTTTTTTCTTTTTTCTTTTTGTTAGTGTGTGTGTGTGTGTGTGTGTGTGTGTGTGTGTGTTTCTGTGAGTGTGCCTGTGTCTGCCTGCGACTCTGTCTTTGTATTGGGATTTCTCTCCGTGCGTCTGCGTGGGCGCAGAATGTGAGGCCCTCCTCTCAGCCTCCGCGGTGTGTGAGTCGGCATCGCCACGGCGCATCTGCGTCTCTGCCTCTCTCTTTCTCCACGTATGTATGTATATATATATATGTTGCCGCCGGCGTCTCTGCCGGGCGCCTGTCGCGGCGAGCAAGCAAAAGCAACCAGAGCAAACACCACAGAACCCCGTGGGGACCCCCACCCACACACAACGAAAGGAGAAAAGGTAGAGTAAAAAGGAGCAGGGGACGAGGCGTAGCTGCGGGCGTTTACTGCACTGCCGCCGTTCTTGCGTGGAGGAAGGACTCGGCGTGGGGAGAGGTGTTCGTCGTGCCTCAGCAGGTCCTTTTCTATATTCCTCGCTTTTTCACACACACACATAGGGAGACACGGGTGCGTGTTCTGAGTTAGGATGGAGCCCAATGTGCTGTCCGTGCTGCAGCAGCTCACGTCAAACCCGCAACTCGTCGGCCAGTTGCAGAACCTGCTGACAGTCTTGTCACACGGCGAGCAGGACGCCACCGCGGGGCGGGCGATGGCGGCTAAAGCTGCAGCACCCACGCTGGGCGGAATGCCGTCACCGGGGCTTGCCTCCGCTCCATCGCCAGTGCCCGTGGCACAGCAGCAGCAGCAGCAGCAGGGCATGAGTGCGGCCGCGTGGCGTGGATCGGCGCAGACGGCATCCACCACACGCTCTGTGCGACATGGCGAGGCGAACAGCTCACAGCTCTCGCATAGGACTGCCGAGACGGCAACGGGCGACGGTGTCTCGCTGCAGCGGTACGAGAAACTGGTGGGGCGCTGCCGTCAGCTTGAGGAGGAGCTGGAGCAGAAAACGCGTGCGGCCGCCGATGCCTCGCAGCGTGTGGGTCAGCTGGAACGGGAGACGACGCGGCTGATGCGACGCGTGGAGCAGTTAGTGGCTGCCGTGGAGGGGCAGAAGCAGAAGTTAGATGAGACCGAGGCAAAGCACAGGCTTGAGCTTGCCGAGGCAGAGAACAGGCATGAGTTAGAGCTGCGGGCGAAGCTGGCCGCACATGAGGAGGCGCTGCGTCGACTGATGGAGGCGCAGCGGCTGGTGGCAACCGCGACGCAGTACGAGCAGACGGTGAGGCACGCCGCTGCGGGGCGTCAGGCGTCTGCCATCACCACCACCACCACCACCACCACCACGCCTGTGGGCAAGCGAGGCCCCAAGTCCCGCCCCGGCAGCTCCGCCAAGCAGCCGCTGCCGCAGGGCGAAGAAAGCGGCAACGAGCGGGAAACGGACGGGGACGAAAAGGCGGCGTTTCTTCCGCACGGCGGCGTGCCAGTGAAGCGGGAGCGGGAGCACGCAAACGTCTTCGCCCCCGCCACACGCCGCAAGAGGCAGACGCCCCGCACGCCGAGTCTGACGGCGGCCGATCGCGTCGCCTCCACGGCGGCCACCAGCACCGCCATCGCCACGTCGTACCCAAAGACCACGCCGCAGTCGGCAAAGGCGGAGCACGATTCTCCGCAGCTGCACTCTGCGGCAGCCGCCGCCTTTGCGGAGGATCACTATTCGAGGAAGCCGCGTCATCCGTCGAGCTCCACAGTGTCCCCCGGCCCCGCAACGAGTACCATCACGGAGGCCATGGCCCGTCACCACCACCATCAACAGCAGCAGCAGCGCGAGATCGTGCACAGTAGTGTGGAGTCTAGGTTCATTACACAGTACGGCGCGGCTGTGCTACCACCCACCCCCTCACTGCCCTCGCCGCCGCCGCCGCCGGTGCCTGGCTCTGCAACAACGAGTCTCGGGGCACTGAACCGCACCCCGCAGCAGCGAGGGTTGCCAAACGGCCAATTACAGCAGCAACGGCTGCGTAGTGGGCAGCGCAGCGGCACCTCCTCGGTAGTAGGTGGCCCGACTCGCTCACCTTCGCCGGTAAACCCAAAGCGTGGGGCAGAGCAGCCGCGCTGCTTCGTCGTAACCAGCCTTACAGAGGAGGAGCGTGCACGCGTCAAGGCGGCGGTTGCGGCGGTTGGGCAGCATGGAATTGTGGTGGAGAGCGAATACGAGGATCCGCCGCCGTTTACCGCGACGCACATCGTCGTACGCGGGCCGCCGCGTAGCATGAAGGCCTTGTGCGGTGTGGTGGGCTCAAAGTGGCTTGTGCAGCCGGAGTACATTTATGCCTCTCGCGATGCTGGTTTTTGGCTTGACGAGTACGAAGAGGGCGGGCTCCGTTGCTTTCCGCCCCCGCTGAAGTGTCAACGCTTTCTGCTCACCATGCCGGAGGGCATCGTGAAGGAGAAGCTGGAGCAGGTGATTGAGTACGGTGGGGGGGAGGTGGTGCGCCCGGCGCGTGATGGGCGGTCGTACGACCAGGGCGTCATCGTCATCGCCTCCGGGGACGACCTGCTGCGCTTTGCCACCCGGATAGAGTGAGGCGCTGCAGGGGGCGGGCGAGGGCGTGGGGCGTCCACCGGGCGGCAAGCGGGATCCCCACGCGCGGCGCCAGCCGTGCGCGCACGCATCGTACGGTTTTATAGAAGGCGAGGGGAAGCAGATGGCGCAGGTCAATGCAAAGAGCAAAAGCGGGAAGGATTGTTTTTTTTTCTTCTTTTTTTGGCAGGGCGTAGGGGCTCACGCAACTAGATAGATGGTCACGGGGAGTTGCAAGCGGGTGCGTAAGAGACGAAGGCGGGCAGTGCCTCGACGGCGTGCTTTTATTTTATTTTATTTTTCTCTTTTCTGCTCCTTCGTGTCGGTGTCTTGCGCCGGGCCCCTTCCGTCTTCCCCAACTGCTTGCGCCGCCGGCGGAAACGAGGTGTGTGTGTGTGTGTGTGTTTGTGTGTATTTGGCCCGCGACTTCGCCCCGCCACGTGTCCGCCGACTTGTGGTTTGTGTTTTCTTCATTTTCTGCTGCGCGTCGGGCGTCTCTGCCGACGGCGTGCGGGGATGCTGCGGGCACGCACAGCCGTATATATTTATATATGAGGAGGAGGAAAATGCATGCAATTTCTTGGGGGATTCCAACCGCAGGGCGGAGGCTGACGCGCGTGTGGGCCGTCCTGTTGAGCAACGTTTACTCTTTCTCTCGCTTCCTTCTCTCGCACGCGCGGCAGGCTCGGCCAGAGGCGTATGTCCGTCGCTGAGGAGCTCCGGCGGCTGCAACGTGCGGCGGACGTGAACGATGGCCACCTGCAGCGGCTGCAGAACGAGCTGCGGCTGCTCGACATCGCGCGGGAGGCAAAGCGCGCGTCCAGCAGACAACACACCGCACAGGCGCGGGCGGAGATACGTCGACTGGAGGCAAACATCGCCGCCATCGAGGGGCGCCGGCGCCCGGTCACCGCGGCTCACCTCGTGGCGTCGCCGCCGGTGACGCCGCCGGCACCGTCGCCCGCTGTGCCGCGGGGACGCCTGGAGGGCGCTGTGGCGGCTCTTGAGCGGCAGAGTGCGCAGCTGGCCAGGCTGCGGGCCCAGCGACAAGAACTCGAGGAGCTGCTGCGCCACGCCGTGGCGCACTACCCGCAGTACAAAATTACCGAGAACTTTGACGCCCAAAATGAGTTTGAACGTGCCGCGCTGGCGCGGGTCATGAATGCCGCATGACGGCATGGCAACCACCCACCCACGCAAGCACACACATATTATTTGTAGCTGCACGCCGATAGTGTCCGGCGGTAGGGGCCAATAAGAAGTGAAGAAGGCGATGCGGTTCAACTGTACGGGGTTGTCTTTCGCATCGGGGGGCGCATGCAGTTTCCTCCTCATCGTTGGCGCGTCTGCCCGCCCTTCTTCTGCTGCGTCTCTCCTCTCTTTCCAACCCACCCCCCACCCCGCTGCACCCGCAGCCTCATCTAGGTCCACACGACAGTAAGGAAGCAGCCAGTAGCAGCGCGTATTCGTGCCGCAGGCAGAAAACTTTTTTGATTTAGCTCCTTCGCGCGAAAAGGAAAACAAAGAGGAGGAGGAGAGGGGGGAGACAAGGCTGGAAGGCCGCTGACTTCATAGCATGCAGGGGTATCCGCAGCAGCAGCAGCAGTATTGCGGCTACGACGCGGCCGCTTCACAAGCGCAGCAGCAGCAGCAGCAGCAGTATGCCTATTCGCCGGCTGTGGGTAACGGGGACTACGGGTCGTACTATGCCCCCGCCAACGCCGGCGCCTCACAAGCTGCCGTGGCGTCTGGCGTTGGCGTTGGCGTTGGCGTTGGCGGGTACGGTGGTCAGTACATGCAACAAGGGCAGCAGCAGGCGTACCAGTACGAGCAACAACAGTATGCCTCAGGGATGAGTAAAACCGCGGATGTCGTTGCCTCCCCACTGGCCCCTCAAGTGGAGTCGCCCACGGCGTACGCCTATGCGGGCCCCGCCGCTGCCTTGGCGCCTGGGCATGACACGCCGAGCGCCGCGCCGAACGCCACAGACGATAACGGCCTGCGCTGGACGTGGAGCACCTATCCCAACACGTACCGGGACACCAAGCACGACCCTGTCTCCGTGGCGTCCATCACGCTGCCGGAGATGATCGTTCCGCTTGCCTGCATGTACACACCGCTGCGGCCGCTGGAAACCAGCCACTTCGTCCTCGGTGACCCCGCCGCGCGCGGCCAGCAGTGCCCGAACTGCGGCGCCTTTTGGAACAAGCACTGCCACCGTGAGGAGGGCAAGTTCTGGGTGTGTCTCTCGTGTCTGCGGCGCAATCCAATGCCGCCGAATTACAGCCCCGAGCACCCCGCACTGCATCATGACACCGTGGAGTACATTATCCCCTCCGCAGCACCCGCGACGGCGGGAGGGGCGGTGGACGCCAGCGCAAGGCACACCTACCCAACCTTCGTCTTTATCATTGACGCCTGTCTCCCGGTGGAGGAGCTCGAGGCCCTGAAGCAAAACATTCTGCGCTGCCTGAACTGGCTCCCTCCGCAGTCCCTCGTGGGGCTCATCTCGTTCGGGGCCCGCACCTCTGTGTGGGAGCTTGGAACCTCGACCTTGACGCGCTGCTACAGCCTGCGCGGCGAAAGGCAGTACGAGCCCGCCGAACTCTCGGCAATGCTGCAGGTGACGGATGCGATGCCGGTGCAAGGCCGCTTCCTGGCGCCGCTCGAAGACTGTGAGTTTGTGCTGACCACCTTGATTGAGGAGCTGCAGTGTGACGATAGTGTGACGCCCGGCAACAAGCGGCCGCTCCGCACCACCGGCACCGCCGTTAGCGTTGCAGTGAGGTTGTTAGAGTTGCTGTATGAGAAACCCGCCGCGAAGGCGGCAAAAGCGGCGGCTGCATCGTCCGCACCTGCCGTAAAGGCGGGGCGACTGCTGCTCTTTACAGGTGGCCCCTGCACCCGCGGTCCAGGAACAGTTGTGGGCATTGAGAAGGAAAAGATGATGCGCTTTCACCGCGACATTATTGACGGTGACACGCCATATTACGCCGACGCCTTCAACATGTACAAGGGCCTGCAGCAGCGCCTGTCAAACGTGCAGGCGAGCCTTGATGTCTTTGCCGAGAGCTTTGATCAGACGGGCATCCTAGAAATGCGGGAGGCGGTGAATCAAACAGGGGGTACTTTTATCTGCGGTGATATGTTTAACCACAAGATGTTTACCACGTCGTTTCAGCGATACTTTGACCGCTTTGACCCACGCGTGCGTGCGCTGGAGGCGCAGGGCGGGGCGGCGGCCGGCGCGGCGTTCTCCGTGCGCAGCGCCTTCGGCGTGAAGTTTGGGGTGCACACCTCCGTAGAAACTTTAGTGAGCGGCGTGCTGGGGCCATGCCTCGTGGATGAGCAGGCGAACAAGACGAGCCCGCACCGTGCGGCCTCCCCCATTCAAATTGGGGTGGGGGGCACGACGAACTGGTGCGTCAGCACCCTCGACGAGGCGGTTACGTACACCTTCCTTTTTGACACGGCCACGATGAGCAAGAAGGGCGGCGGGGACGCCGCCGGGGCAAAGGATCCGCGCAGCATTGAGGGCAGGCACCGCTTCTTGCAGTTCGTGGTGCGTTTCACCACCCCGCACGGGGAGTCGCGGGTGCGGGTGACGAGTGTCGTGCTGCACGTCGCGCCGTCGCTGCCGTCCATCGAGCCGCAGTACTTCGTGCAGCACGAGGCCTTTGACCAGACGTGCGCCGCCACCGTGCTGGCCCGCATGGTGGTGAGCATCCTGGAGAAGCACCCGAGCAAGTGGGATGACACCAAGCGGTGGCTGGACACCTTGTTGGTGCGCTTTGTGCGCCGCTACGGCAACTTCCGGCCGGGCATACCGGAGTCGCTGCGGTTGCACCCGTGCCTCTCGCTCTTTCCCTCCTTTCTCTTCAACCTGCGCCGGTCGGAGTACTTCATGGTGCTCAACATCTCCCCCGACGAGACGGCGTTCAAGCGGCACTGGCTGATGCGGGACCCCGTCGACAACTGCGTCCTCATGATTCAACCGGCACTGTACTCCTACGACATCGAGGCGCCGCAGGCGACGCCGGTGCCACTGGATAGCTGCAGCCTGCGCCCGGACAACATCCTCCTCATGGACGCGTACTTCAACATTCACATCATGTGGGGCACAACCATCTTTGCCTGGATACAGGCCAAGTACCAGGACGACCCCGAGTACCTCTACTTTGCACAGCTGCTGGAGAACGTGGAGAACGACGCAATAGGACTTCTGAGCACGCGATACCCGTACCCACGCTTTTCTCGCACAGACGCCAACGGCTCTGAGGCGCGGCACATCAAGACCCGGATGAACCCAACAGTGACACACCACAGCGGTGGCATTGGCGCTGCTGCCGCCACCGCTGCGGGTGACCAGTCGGACGTCATCTACACCGATGAGGCCTCCATTATGAAGTTCATGGAGTCGCTGAAGCAGGCCGTGGTCTCCCTCGGTAAAGACGGCAATGGTGCGGGTAACAACAGTATTGGTGTGCGTTGAGCCACCTACCGCGGTTCTCCTTCACCCATGCGCTGCTGTGCTTCTGTGTCTCTCTTCCGCGCAATTGCCCGCCCCACCGTGCATTCATGCGTCCACGCACACACACACACACACATTATATGTCTCGCTCTCGCCCTGAGTGTGAGTGTCCCATTCACCCCCTGTGCACGCGTCTCTTGTTTGGGCTGTTGTCGTTTTCTTCTTGAAGGCGTGCGTGAGCGCGCAGTCGTTTTCCTTTTTTTTTTCTTCTCTCTCACCCACGTCTCCCCCTCCCTTCCGGGTCGCTCGTTTCGTTGAAAACAAGCATTGCAGTTCGCTGGGTGACGCCTTGCCTTTTCATCTTGTTCCAGCGGCGGTGGGACGACACATTTTGCGGCCCTGTCGTGACGCTCCTCTCCTCGTCCCCTCCCACTCCCCTCTTCTGCTGCAGCTGCGGTCATATATACATATATACATATACCTTCGTGTATGCTGGCGTGGGCATGCGTCGGCTCCCACACTCGTGGACGCGCGGACACGACGGGGCTGCAGCGGGCAGAAGGAGTGACGGAAGGAGGTTAGACGTGGCGGCGGCGGAAGCAAACACGGAGAAAAGGAGCGACATGGCGGCCGTGAGGGGCGTGGGCGCGGTAAGGGAGGAGAAAGCGAGCAGCAGGAAAGAAGCGTGGTGTGACGAAGGAGAAGAAGGCGGGAGTGGGGAGTGGGAAGGCAAGCAACAGCCACAATAGCGAAAAGTAAATGAAAGAAACCTCCTGCACCCCGCCCTACCCACAAAAGAAGAAATGAAAGTAATACATATATATACATATATATATATAATGGAGGAAGCAGAAGCAGAAGAGAGGCAGTTGACACGAATGGACGTTATTTGGCGCCTTAACTTTCTGTGCGTGTGTTTGTGGGAGCATTCCGTTTGATTTATGGTAATGCTTATAACGCCTCCGTGCCGCACCTCCTCCTCCGGCGCCTCCCTCCACCTCTGTGCGTATGTGGTCGCCACATATGCGTGGATCCTTTTATCTCGCTTTATTTCCCTTGCCTCATACCTGGCTGTCGGGGTTGAGCCGCTGCGATTGCTACATAGACGCGCATAGTATGCACGCACACGTGTGCTGTGGCTTCTTTCTCCAAATGTTGCCTGCATTTCTGCCGAGGCGCTGCCGCCGCGGCGTGAGGAAGTCGAGGAAAGGAAGGAAAAAGGAAGCGAGCGACGCCAAAAGCGGCGGTAGAACGCAAAGCAATCGGTCACCACAAGGTGGCTCGCGGCAATGCTCGGGGGAGTCTGGCTGGTGGTTGTCGGCCTTCTTCGCTGCCTCTTTGAGGCTCTTTTGTTTCTCCCGCGCTACCTGCTGCTGGAGCGGCACGACCGCCGCAGTCCCATTTGGGGGGCGCGGGCGGAGGCGACGGTGTGGTTTGGCCCCACCGCCTGCCTGGACGTGCTGGGCTGCATTGAGTGCCTGAACTGCTTCGGCGGCGCGACCCGCGCCTTTTCTCCGCCGCAGTACAGGAAGGGCTCCACGAACACCGCCGCGGAGTCAGACGAGCATGAGGCCTCCACTGAGGAGGAGCGACTGAACTCCTTCAGCCTCTCTTCCCCGCTGAGTCCGCGGCAGACGCTGCTGGGGGCGGACGGCAACGGCAGCGAGGCGTCGACGGAGCAGAGCTGCGACGACTCCTCGGCGGCGGCGGCGGTGATGAACACCCTCTCCCGGTGGCTTCGCCGCACCTCCTCCCGCTTCACGCCGGACGAAAGGCTCAGGTGCGGCGAGGACGCCATGGCGGCGGCGATCTCGACGGGGGGCGACGCCCACATGTTGCAGGGCGTCTTCACCGGCGGCACGCCCTTCGTGCCGTACTCCCTCCTGCAGAGGGCCTGCGCGGAGGCGGACGCGCGCGAGGAACAAAACCAACGCAGCGACACGCCTCACATGAGGGAGTACTATCGGCGGCGGCGGCGACAGCTGCTGCGTGGGAGAGACGGCGGCACTTTGTCCTGCTGGTTTCCCGGTGGCACCGCGGGGGCGGCGTCCACACACGTCCCGTACCATACCCGCCCACGGAAGCCGCGCGCGAGAAGAGGCTTCATCCCTCCCTGGTACGCGGTGCACGCCAAGGCGCAGCTGCTGCTTTCTCTTCTTGACCCACTCTGGCGTATTCTGACGGAGTTGTTTTTCATGTCGTGCACGGGCGAGGCCCACAGCCGTCGCACTGGCGACGCCGAGGACCGGTCCCTTCGGGTTTCGTCAACGTCCGCCGCGTCCGTGCCCTGCGTGTTCACCAAGCCCCAACCCGGGCAAGGAGAGGTCCCTGACCCGGTGGAGGAGATCTGCTTCATGCCTGAGCAGGCTGCCAGGGAACTGTGGGCACGCGCCCACACAACACGGCAGGGGACGTTCGGCGAGGCGCCCGTGTCCTGTAGCTACGTGCCCACGCTGGCGCCGAAGAAGTCTTCTTTGCGGCGCAGCACCGCAGCCTCCCTCGAGGGCCCAACGCGGCTGGGCGTGGCGGAGGATGCCACGAGTCCGTATTCCCGCACATGCGCCAAGGTGAAGCCGGAAACTTCATTGGCGCAGGCGAAGGAGGTGCAAATGGAAGGACATGACAGTGCCCACACGGTGACTGCCGGCTCCGCGTGGGAGGCTCGTGTGACGAGTCTTCACTGGCTGCATGGATCGGCGCCGCCAGACGCGTCTGTCTCCCCCTCCGCGGTGATAGTGCTGCTCCTCTGTCCTTCCGTCGCGCAAGGAAATGAGCATGGGTGCGTGGCGCGGCGCCTGGGTGCCCTCTGTGCGGCTCTAACAACCATGTCCAAACTACGTCGCGAGGGCAGCTGCAGCAGTCGGCGTCGGGGTCCGCCTCAGACGCAGCTGGGGGCGGATTCCCCCGACAGCCCCAACGCGCCAGCCGACGCCGCGGACCCTCGCTTTGCTTCGTGGCATGCTGCGATCCCTGTCGCCGAGGCGTTTGTCTGCAAAGGCGGGGCGTCGCCTGACGCTGCCGCCGGTGCCGACGCATCCTTGTGCCGGGAGAGGGTGAACGTGACGGTGGAGGACATCGATCGGGTGCTCGCTCACTTAGGCAGGCTGCGAAGCGTCTCGCGACACCCCTCCCAAGACCGGAATGCGGCGATGAAGGGGGCACCGTCTCGCGACACGGAAGCGGCGGGTGGTGCCCCAACGCCCCTACACAGTCGCCCCGAGGTGCAGCCGCAGAGCGACGCGAAAGGCGGCGCCCGGAGTCTCTACGTCGTCGGGGTGGGCTGGTCGAACGCCAGCAGCCCGCTGCTGCAGTACGTCATGTCATACGGTGCACAGTCGCGGATGGACGGAGTCATTTGCATCAACCACTCCGCCTCCTCCAACTACGCGATTGTCCCAGAGACGGGCTCGAGCAGCAGCCGGCAACCGCAGCCACTGGGGCGGGAGAGGCATTGGTGTTCGAGGAAGCACACAACACCATTTCACAGCAACTTTCTCTCCGCCCCGGCCGGCGCCGTGCGACTTATGCTGCTCGCGGCACGGCTGCATCTCACAGCGGAGCACCTCGCTGAGCTGCGACAGCGGCGGCAGCGACAGCAGCAGCAGAAGACGGCAGGTAATGACTTGCCGGATATACACGACGTCGCCATTTGGGAATACTTGCGCCGCACAGTAGGCTCCGCCGTGTCTGGGAATTTCGGGCCCGAAGGTGGTGGGAATGATGCACCCCCGCCCCCTGCCAGCGCCTCCCCTTTCCCACTCCTCTCGCGGCGACCCTTGACGCCGGGGGAAGCCCCGTTGGCGGCGCTGCTGCGGGTGGAGGCGCAGGTTGATCAGGAGATGGGGAAGTGGTGGCTCGACGAGGTGCAGGCGGGTAACGAGGACGAGGAGGACGGCATGCACGGCAGGGGCCTCTCGTCACGGGGGAACCGCGGTGCCGCACCGCCGGTCTCGAGCGGGAGGTGGCACCCGTTGATGAGTCTGTCGGACTGGGACATGTTGCTGCAGAGCCGCGACGAGAAGTCGGCAGCCGCACTCATGGGCTTGGGGTTGCCCGGGCGCGGCGCGGACGGCGCCACGCAACCGGCGCCCCCCACGGCCACAACGGAGGCCGCCGATGAGGGTGTTTGCGGCGGGCATCGCGCGGCACCGCCCCCGCCGCCCGCGCACTGCGCCTCGCTGCTGTTCGAGATGGCGGGCGGGAGGCCGGCCCTTTTGCTGCCCGCCCGCCTCTCCTCCCCGCCCGCCCGGGGCCGCGGCACGGCGGCATGGACGGCGGCGCGCGACGCGTGCGGGCGTCCCTCCCCCTCCCCCTCCCCGGACTTGGCCATGGCAGCGCTCCGCTACCACTCCGCCAGCAGCGCCCACCTCGTATCCCTCATTCACGTACCAACGTTATTTGTGCACGCGCGCGACGATGAAATGGCGCCCCTCAGCACACTCCCCATGCGAGTCCTCGCGAAGAGCCCGTGCGTGGTCACCGTCCTGACACGTCGCGGCGGCTATGGCGTGTTTTTGGAGGGGATATCCACCCTGCACGCCTTGCCGCAACTCACGCTGCAGGAGCGCGAACGGGCACTGGACACCAACACGGCGTCAGACGGCGCTGCGAGTCGCATGCCGTCAAAGACACGGCAGTGGTTGCCGCGGTGGACACCTCGCAGAGGCGGAGGAACCGGAACAGCGCCTGCCACAGCGACACACGGCTCATGCTTTGCCCCATCCATCAATAGTGCCAACAGCAATAACCACAAGACGAAGACGGGGGTAAGAAATGAGGTAGAAACTGTTTTCGTGATTGAACACACCACGTGGCTAGAAAGACTCGTTGTGGAGTTCATCGCTGCTGCTCTCATTGTGTGAGCGCCGCATTGCCATCGGCGCCGCATCATATGCCCGTAACGCTAGTTCCTGACAGTGGAGAAGGGAGATACGTAACAAACGAAGCAGCAAAAAAAAAATCTCTGATGTGTGTGTATATATTATACATATGTGCGTCTATACACTTGTATATATTTCCCATCCATATAGTTATCCGTAAGTGAACGCCCGCGCACCAGCGTCTTATCAAGGTGCAAGCTGCTGCACTGCGCACATCTCTGATGTGTGTAGCGGCCGCTTCACCTTAAAAAAAAAAAACTGGTGCTCAGTGAAGGGCACGTACTAGTTCTGTATCCTCCCCCACCCCACCCCACTCCACTCCATTTTTTTCCTTCTTTCCGTTTTGCTTCCTAGCCGTGCTTTACTGCCCTGCCGCTGTGACGTGTGCCGGAATGTGTGTGCGTGTGTGTGTGGGGTGGGGGGGAGCTTGTGCTGGCGAGACGGGGGTGGCTGCGAGGCTCTGGCAGCACGTACCCATACGGCATGCACGACCAAATCCTCGACGCTCTCTCCCCGCCACGCCTTCGTGAAACACCACCGTCACCACACACACACACACCGAAAACAAAAACAAAACAAAAAAAGCAACGGTGGCGTCACGCAAGACCTGTCGTTGAGACACCTCCCACAACAAAGCGGCTCGCACAACTCATTTCACCTTTGGGGCAAACGACACATCTCCGTGCCTCTGTCTCACTTTCTATTTCTATTTTTCTCTGGGGGGGGGGATGGCCTGCGTGGATGCATACCTCAATTCATGACGCCCACAGCACAATCGCACCAGGACTCAAGTCGAAAAAGAGAAATACACAGCTTGACCTACGCAAAAAATGTCTTCTGCGTCCACCAACAGTGAGGAATCATCACTACTGCTGCACATGGCAGAGGAAGAACCATCACAGCCCGTACACTTGTCGCCACTAGTGATACTCAACATCTCACAGCACGCCACGAGGATGATGGAGGGCACCACCACAGAAGCGGCCGCGCCCACTCTCGGGCTTCTCCTTGGCCGCACGACAACTGACGGCGGAACAGAAATTGTCTATTCATTTGAGGCAGTCAGCCACGCGACGGCCACCACAGCAGCGTGGGGCGTGGACTGGCAGGCGGTCAAGCGCAAGATTGAGATCATTGCGGAGGTGCTCACCGACCTCGTGATAGTGGGGTGGTACGGGACGGGAAGGACAAAGGCAGACGTAATGAGGTGCTGCGGCGTCATGCACGGGGCGCCCTGCGAAATATTTGACGGTGCCATTCACGGGGCGACGTTGGCGCTGCTGGCGGACTGCGCCCCGCCCCCGGCGCTCGCCGCCCTCCCGTTGCGCCTCTTTGAGGCAACCGTCCTGTGCGACGACGACCCCCGCACGGCCGAGGCGGATGAGGGGCGGTGGGGGCGGGCGGCCGCTCCACGACCCAGCGGCCTCAACTATGGCTCCGAAGCGTCGCCCCGTGCCACGGGCCGCAGCAGCCGAATAGTTTGCCCTGTCGCAGGCGCACCGCGTCTGACGGTGTGCCTAAGACGCACACGGTTCTCTGTGGGATCTGACGCCGTGGCGCAAATAGGAGCTGGCGCGGCCATTGACGCCATCGGCACAGGCAGCGAGAGCGCTGCCCGAGGGACGGGAACGGTGCCCTCCGGCCTGCGACGCGTCGGGCACTCCCTGCGGCGGCTGAGGCGGCGCGTTGCGTTGGCCGTGGAGTACCTGGGTGCTGTCGAGTCCGGGCGGCTTGTGCGGCCAGCCCCCGAGGTCC